GAGGAGAGGAAGGTAGTAGGAGGGGGAGGAGGGGGAGGGAGGTAGGAGGAGGGGAGGGGAGGGAGTAAATTAATGTGTCGTAGCATCTAAACTAACCATTTGCGACGTTTTTCAAGGCCAACATCGTGTTCAGTGTCCTAAAAAACTCTAGAAAGCTACAAAATAATACCCTTTATGAGACGGGGGTGTTTTTTTGTAGGCTAATGGCTGTCCCGTTGGTGTCCGATCGTAACCCAGAACTTTCTACGTTACAGTTATTATTAACATTTTTCCTTCAATATCTCCCCCTTGCCCTCCTTCCGATTAGAACATTTTGGTTTGTGACTTCTCATGGTCTTAGTAACTCAAAACGACCAAAAAATGTCAGATAAAATCCTTGTAATTTGTGAAATAATAAGGCTCATTAGACTCATTAGTGTTTTGCTCCCCATTTGATCTTTTATAGCATGCCTACCTTTGTTGGCAGTTCAGAAGGTTTCATTATTGTGTCAACCTTTGCATACATCATACTCATTTTGTCGATTTGAAGAGAAAACCTCAATTTTAAAAAGATTTAGATTACACAGATTTATTCTTTAGATGTCCTCTGTACAAGTTGTGGAAAACCAATGATGATAACTTCTTTTTTGTGACGAAATTTTAATGTACCGGAAATGAATAGTTTTTCTTCCACCCTTTTGCACAGAGAGTTTCTGGCTGTGATTGGCGAGCTGTGAAATTGCGTCATTATTGATGGGGACTCCAACCTCTGAAGCTCAAGATGTGCTTGCTGTCTATCGAATTACATAATATATTTGTATAATATATATATATCATAAATACACAAAACATACAAGTGTGTTACGTAATGTTCTGTATTTCTATACCATAATTCAACTAACTGCATTAGAAGTTTTAACTCATCTTATCTCAAACTTCAAGAGATATGGGTGCGCTTGAAAGTAAAAGCAGCAGAAAAACGTGTCACTGTGATATTTTTTTTAACTTACAATTAATATTAAACCCATTTAATCCTGATGATGTTACTTCTATCTTGTTTTTATAATAAAACGTTGAATCCAATTTCTGGAGAATAATATCGTTTTCATACCCAACTGCTTGGTGCAGCTGATCGCAGGAGGTGGGGCAATGAATGTCTCCGGTAAATCACTTTCCTTTCCGTGTTTCGCTTCGCTGATGTCAGGATAGGGCATTCCAGGATTTTTTTTCCTCAAATGTCTCTCTCGCCAGCTGATAGAGGAGGAAGATAGAGAGGCAGAGGCTAGTACTGCTGTGGAAAGGATGATGCTTTATGGAATACAAAAAGGAAGCGGAAAATCTGGCATCCTTGCAGGAAAGAACAGAAGAACGTTCACCCAGATATGCACTGGCACAATCAGTGGAAAGACCCTCGGCGACATTTTGGAGAGAGCAACGGAGCATCAATGGACATGTCCGGAGTGCAGGGATGTTGCTTCCTGAAACAATGAACAATTTTTCCTTTAACTTAAAGCTATCTCCCTTCGTCCCACCCATTCAAAACAGAATTGGAGGGGAATTTTGCAGAAACATCCTCTTAGGAGGAGTCAAAACAACCAGCCAGAGACAACTGGAGCTTAGGTCCTTCCTGAAACCGTCATTTTGTCATGCAATGATTAAAGCCCAATGTTGTGTGTGTGTGTGTGTGTGTGTGTGTGTGTGTGTGTGTGTGTGTGTGTGTGTGTGTGTATGTGTGTGTGTTCTTGGCAGATTAGATTCAGATGAGTAAATATTATTATGCTCGGCATGAGGCAAACTCTCGTAGTATAAGCTCTATGATTTTTCAAACGTATGTTTCCTCTGCCGTTACTTCCCACTCCGGCTCTTGTTTCTAAAGTATACACATAATCTGCTGTTTGACATCTCATGGTGCCATCTGTTACTTGTGACACAAGGCACAAGGTGGTTTGACTGCAAATGAATTCACAAGTCGTTTGGTGGACTTTCTTTCAACGTGCATAAACGCGTAGACGATTAAAACAATATTATAATTATACAGTCACTGGTGTGTTTATCAGCACAAAAAACTGCAGCTCTTTCTTATGCCAATGCCATGAGTGCCTTTTCCCACTAAAGAAAACACCAAAATTGAACACAAAATCTTATGAGAGTCCACATTTATATATATATATATATATATATGGAAGTAGATAGTATTTTCTGCTGGCATGCTTTTTCGACAGTTTGCTAGGGCTAGGCTTCGCACACATCTACTGTACTCAACAGAGAGAGTGACATGACACGTCTAAAAAAGAATCAGCAAGCACACCGCCCCCCACCCCTCGCGTGAACACACGCTTTACAACGTGACTAGCGTGAGGCAACTGCTTATGTGGGCAGAAGATATTCGGAGACGTCTCCGGCAGGCACCTAGGAACTATTCGGAGACGTACTCCCGCACACAGATGCACTGCTTTGGGGGGTCAAACTGCGTATCGTTTGCAGCAGATCACACGTATAGCCACTATAAAACAATTTTTTAAAAGAAACCTAGACTGCACCCTCAACTACCACCCGCCGTGCAGCCATGACAATATCTACAAAATGTTACTCAGAACCTAGCCTAACCATCTACAGACTTCAACATAATTTAAGGACCACCTTGACAGACATGCCTGATTTTTTAAAAGTTCGAAAAAAAGGCAGCAAGGAATGTTTTAATTATTTTTTGCTCTGAAAGTGCTAATGAGTTACCAATGCGTACTACAAAGCTTCCAAAAGAGGCAAAACCACCACGTGCAGCACTGAAATCCTCGGGGAATTTTTGACAAATTTGCTGTTCTTTATCGACTTGTGTGCAATACCACGTACATTCCTCAGTTAAAATGTCTGGCGCACGTCATAAACGGACGAATGGTCTCGAAATGTGCTCACCTTGGTCGCAATATAAGCCGCCGTTTGCACAAAATCCAGTACATGTATCGCATCAACATGCCACCAAGACGAAAGCTGAGAGATTGATCGTGCCAAAGCTATGGCATGGCAGCAGGATGTATTTGGAGCCTGAGAAGTTGCCAGAAGGTTTGCAGTGTCACACTCTGTCATTGTCCGCCTGAGGCAGCACCATCAAGCCACTGGATCAGTCCAAGAACGCCCACGTGCATGTCGACCCAAGAAGACCACGCAGGGTGTTTGCAAGTGGTCCTTAACATATGTTGAAGTCTGTAGTTCTCTATCTACCTATCTCTACAGCCCCACTACGTCACTTTAAGCCTGAGTGGGTGGGTGGTTGGCGGGTGCTCTGGTGCGATTTGCTTCTTCTTTCCTATCAAACATCTATCGTTCTTATTTCCCCTTCTTTTTTATGTTTGTTACTCTCTTGTAACACCTCTAATCTTCTGGCGCTCATATGACCTTATGCAGTTGCGAGCGCTGTAAAACCTCTACTAAAACCAAAACTAAAGCCTGAGTGTGATAATATACGGAAATCGTAGTAACAGAGCACAGTGGGACCCGTTTGTTTACCAGAAAAGTGGCTGGACCTTCTGATGTCATCCAAAATTTGTATTGAAAGTAAGAACAAAATATCTTATCGTTCTATCGTAAATCAGTGACCTTGTATCTCTGTGGCCTCGATACAAAGTCTCCAGCTGGACATCATACAAGGAACATTGTTTTTTTGAGTCTTTACCTGTTTTTACGGCACGCTGTCAACACAATTTCGCAAGAGAAATAAAACTGCCTATTTAGCTGTTAAAGTTGTCCGTACGCCCTGGGGTCACTTTGCTGTTTTGAGAAAATCGAAGGTAAAGTTTTTGGACCCTTGTTCAGTTTCTTTAAAAGACAAGGAGAGTTTTCTCTATAACCAAACAAATGTACACTCCAAAGAAACAAAACTTCTCCCATAGGTAGGGTAATGCCCACTTTTGGAGTAGGTCAAGATTTCTGGAAACCCCCGAAATGTGGGTTAGCCTGCTTGTCCTTAAAAGCGACCATATTTCACAGACACTGCTGTAGATTGTCCGGTTGTAGGGTCAATTGGGTCGTCCTCCAGATCCTCATCCGCTCACGGGG